AGCACCTCAAAACCTAAATCATCACCAGGCACGCTGGCTGCTTGACCTTGCAGACTTTGATCTGCAACTTGAACATGTCTCAGGCAAAGACCTAGCTGCCCCTGATGCACTGTCTCACCAACCTGACCATGTCCCTGAAGATGATGATGACAACAAAGGAGTTACCCTCCTTCCACAAACTTTGTTTGTGAACCTCATCAACACAAACCCCACCCAAAAGGTTGTGTCCTCCTCTATGAAAGACCCTGTGGTCCAGATAGCACTCTGCACTATTGAAAATGTTGACATGCCACTCCCATTCAAATCCCACCTCTCTGATTGGAGGTTTGATAATGGAGTACTACTTTATAAAGATCAAGTCTACATTCCAGATGACCCATCCCTCCACTGAACTGTGGTGTCCAATCACCATGATCATCCCTCTGCTGGACACCCTGGTGTCCTGAAAACCTGACAGCTTGTCTCATCAGAGTTCTGGTGGCCCAGACTCACTTCCTTTGTCTGGAAATACATTGAAGGCTGTGCTGTTTGCCAGCAGAATAAGGTTAATACTCACCCAACAACACCACCCCTTATGCCTATCCCTTTGACCTTGACCCATCCCTTCCAACAGATCTCCTGCAATCTGATCACTGACCTTCCCCTGTCCAAGGGTTATGACTCTCTCTTGGTCATGGTAGACCATGGGCTTACAAAGGGGGTAATTTTAACACCTACAAGGAAAACCACCTCTGCTGCTGATATTGTGGCCCTCTTTTTCAAAAAGGTCTACTCCCATTTTGGGCTGTATGACAAAATTATTTCCAATAGAGGGCCCCAGTTTGCCTCTGCCTTTGCAAAAGAACTTGCCTCCCTTCTTGGCTACTCCCTTGCCTTGCCTACTGCATATCACCCTCAGACCAATGGAGAAACTGAATGTGTTAACCAGGAGATTGAAACCTATCTTTGAATCTTCTGTCAGAATGACCCCACCTCATGGGTGGATAATCTTTCCATGGCAGAATTTGTGCATAATCACTGTCCTCATTCTGTCACCCACCAGTCTCCATTCTACCTCATGTACAGATAAACCCTCCTTCCTGCCACTGAGTCTAGACTTGAGGAACTTCAAAAGGCTAGAGAGGAAGCCCTAGCAGCACACAATTTAGCCAGAAAGACTATGAAAGACTGCCTGTCACAACCCTTCTCCCTGTTCCAGAAAGGAGATAAGGTTTGGCTCAAGGCATGGAACTTAAAATGTTCCTACAAAAATAGAAAAATAGCCCTGAAATGAGAAGGACCCTTTACTATCTCTGAGGTCCTATCTCCAATCACTTATCACCTTGCAGTTCCCACATGATGGAAAATACATGACATCTTCCATGCTTCTCTCCTGACACCCTATTGTGAAAATGATGTCCACAGACTGAACTTCCCAGCCCCACCACCTGATCTGATTAATGAAGAAGGAGAGTATGAAATAGAGGCGATAGTTGGCCATAAAAGGTCTGGCTGTGGTCACACCTTTTTGATCAAATGGAAGGGTTACCCTTCGACCAAGAACTCATGGCAAAAGGAAACACACCTTGAACATGCAGATGATACACTCTCTGCATATAAGAAATGTTTCCCCAGAGATTTCCTCCCTCAGAAACTACCCACTCGACAACCCACTCACACTGCCAGAAGGCTTTCCATCGAAATGCCTCCTCACTGCTACCCCTACCCTTGTGAACCTTCCTGTCACCACACCCCCTTCGCTTGTTGACAGCAACAACCTGCTAGCAATCAAATGATCACTTCCTACTGACTCTTCATTGCCAACCCCGCTGTTGTTGGCACCATCTATCATGAGGTTGATGAGAACTCTCCTCTTGACCTCATCTATCATGCCACCATCCAAGCCCTCTGGCTTGAGGAACTCTCTAGATATGTCAACCAACAGAACCCTCTTCTCTCCCCCACTCATACCATTCTCAATGAAATAGCCTATGAGCAGGTTCCCCTGCTTCTCTGGCTCTTTGATGTTCTGGGAGGAGCTGACCTTATTTACAATGTTCATCAGTATTCAACATTGATTGCTCCCCCTCCCCCTGGGTCTTGAAGGCCATCAACTGCAACTTCTCCTCCAGTCTCCTCCATGTCATCCTCACCACTGGCATCGTCACCATCATCCTCCCATTCTTCCCACTCGTCCTGCTCTCTCAGAAGAGCTGATCGACCTCGTGCCTGCTGCCTGTCTGGCGCTAACCCACAACCTTGCAGGTCGCATGACTCCCCATCTGAGGTTGACCCTGAAACTGCTTTTGGCATCTCAAGAGCCAAGCTCAACTATACTCTGAATATTGTTGAGACTCTTGCACAGTTACCTCCATCCCCTATCCTAAATGCTATGACTGAGGCTGAACATCCTCTTACCCCTTCCAACCTGCACTACTGTTTGACATGCTATGTCTGTCACCAGCTTGGACACATTCATGTCAACTGTGGACTCTATGAATGTCCTCTTTGTCATGCCACTTGTCCTGGGCATACTCAGACCCAATGTCCATCTCTATGCCCTCGTTGCACGTTACAGGAAAGAATTAACACCCCAGGAGTGGTAGATGATTGTACCCTCATCAGGAGTGAGGATGATGATTTGTATGACAATAACTTTGATTTCAATGACTCTGCCATCAGCAATATGACCAGAGAACCTTATGGAGATTAGTTGAAGTCAGAGACTTCAATGCTTAGAAAGGGGGTAATGTTACATTTCACTCCTATTTTTCCTTTTACAATTACTTCATGTTTGATCTGTTGGACTACTTTTCCTTTTCGAGCTGTCTTCTCTTTGATCCAATGGCTCTCTATTTCCACCACTAGCATTATCCACTCAATACATGCTTAGGACATGTGTTGCCATTGTTCAACCAATGGCATAGTAGCCTCATTACTTGTGGACACCTCATGGTCCATTCCTTGTACAGTATTTAGTCTGTTGGCTCAAGTCCTGGAGACCCAGACTTGAGCTGCTCAATCATACACAGTGTTCTCTCAGAACTTTGCCCTCAGTATCCCTAACCAGGATAGCTCTTACCAGTGTAGCCCAAATTCTCTGACATTTACAGAGGTTACTGAAGCTGTTGCTCAGTAGAAACCATAGTCTGCATTTGAGCTCTCCCTATGCCTTGACTTCAGTCGAGCATAACAAATGTATGGATGGGCCCTTCAGTAATATCTTTTATATTGCCATAAAACAAGGATGGGTCCATCTAGTAAGATCCACCCCTGTCACAACATAAGATGGGCCCAACACCAATAGCACATATGGCATCACAACATATTGATCAGATCACAGTAAAATATTGAGGCAAGCATCCTGACATGCTGTAATTTTCCAACAAGCTGCAAGCAGCTTGCCCACTATACAATCTCTGACCTTATCCACCCCAAGCATGAATACTATGCAAGACATGTCTAAAACCCCCCATGGATGGCAAATGGAACTAACAGACCGCATTGCATCATACATGAAAGCCAGATTTCAAGAGGAGGTATTCAGCAGACCTTGTGCCCTTCCAGATATATCAATTCTGTTTCCAGTGTTATGTGAAGTGGATCACATATCATCAGTAATCTCACAGGCCTATTGTTGCCCAAGTAAGTCCATCATAATGGTGCGATGGAAGTTCTCATCTTTCTGCAGTCAATGTTGGGAAAAATTGGGGTGGAAAAACCTGTAATGCAGAAGGTGCTGAGAGATATGTGGAAGTGACTGAGCTGTCCATTCTGGTGACCAACTCAAACACCATCCACATATGATATTTTCCAGATGCTCTCAGCCCAAAAAGAAGGGTAATGAAATGCAGAATCTCATATTCTACTGACTTAATGGAATGGCAGGCCAATGTATGGAACCACCTTCATCTTCTGAGGGAACCACTGTGGGAGAGCATAAAGGCTTCCTCACAGGCATGGCAGATGGACAAGTCATATTTCTGCAATAATGCTGAGTTGAAAGGTTCCATCAACCTGTCACCCACATGGTTTCAACAGGGTCATGGGGTGGGTGATCATTTCTTGCCTTGTGAATAAAGCACTCATCCATCTTGAAGCCCCAAAATGGCTTCCCAGAAGCCTCATGGCTGCTCAAATCCAGGATGGAAAACACTTCTACAAGGTAATGGGTCAACCAAATGTCTGACACCAATGCCCTGTTATCTGCAATCCTGCATGTCATCCATCTGTGAATGTATGCAGATGGCAGGGAAGCATTGATCCACCTTGGCAAACAGGCAGAACAGTGGGCAGATTCAGATATGAGCTCCATACTACCGATATGGAGCTCCACATATAGCAGCATGTCCATGATGGTGAATCAGGCAACTTGTTACCACAGGGATATCAATGGACAGGATCCATGGTATGACATGCTGGTAACTGTGGGTGACTACCTGCCCTTGGACTTTGTCATTCCAATGTTGAATCTGTGGCTGCACTACAACCCAGGGACAATCATTGCATTTTCAGGTTCAGCATTGGAGCATGGGGTGGGAGCTGTAGACAGTGACTGAGCATGCCTGGCATACTACATGCATGCCAATGTACATCAGTTGGTGCATGTTCACATGTGTCAATCACTGCAGATGGATGACCTACTACCTAGACCAGTTGCAACTGGAGAACTGTTGATTTGAAGCTGCAAAATTTAATGTAAGATTTAGTAGGCAATGTGGATCTCATATTTTATTAGGATATGCTGGCTCTTGAACTTTGGACAGGTGGTGTTGCCAAGATTTTGCAAATGGGCAGGTGCTTTGACATCATAGATTGGGCAGGTACTCAGAGCTAAAGGGTGTGCATCATAAACTGCAACAAAAGTAAACCTACTCAGGCCATCATGCAGATGGGTGGATTGTCAGACATCATGCAGATGGGTGGGGGTTCAGACATCATGTGAATGGGCAGTATCTCATAAATGATTGACATTCACAGCAATGTATATACAACCAACTCCACAGTCAAAAACATGTAAACTATTGAAGTGGCATGCCCAACAACCTGTGCAATGCCCACCACCTAGCATAGAAATGGTCAATTTGTTGACCCCAACTGTTGACAACATCAGCATATTTCCAAATATTTTTGATGCAGTAGTTTACCTGCTCCTTGATATGGCCATCAAGATGGTCTGCGATTGGTGCCTCAGGCAATGGCCATAAGCCCTGGGCCATCATCAACTATTTGCAGTGATGAGAATAAGTAGGCATACCTTAAAAAAATCCCAGGCCATGGAAAACAATCCCTTGCCTTGCAATCTTTGGGAATCTGCTGTGTATTCCTTGGAATGATATAGCCACCAAGGGAATGCAAAGCTGGAATTGGGATCAGCTGCATGTGGGGTCCAATGCAGGACAATGGCACTGATATTGTTGATTATGCAAAATGTGCTAAGGGGAATTAGCTGCATTTGATCATGGAAGCTAACCTCATCATCTTGGTGTCTGAGGTACACATGGTAGCATGCTGGAAGGGGAGGAGTATAACTGGCATGCAACACTGTCACCAGAATCAAGCTATTAAGCTGATTCTGAAGGAATTATGTATCAGTCCCACATTGTGAAAAATTGATGTAAAACCTACCAAGTCCATTGCTAGGTTTGCAAACCAATGTGTGGGCCATCCTGCAATATCAGCAGTCTGCTTCAGATGTACAGAGGCCACCTTGATCTGGCATGCCAAGTAGAGGATACCCATCTCTACCACAGACTGGCAAGATGGGTGTGATTGGCTGGTGATGAATGGCTCAGGACAATTTTCAAAGGCAGAACACAGATAATGAACGACTTCCATCAAATTGAGCATATTGATGAGTTGAAGACCCTGAGAGGCTGCACCATACTGGTCCCTTGCAGCTGTGCCCAATTCTCTTGCAATGGCATTCACAGCCCACACAAGGTGCCTATTGAGGGTGGGATCAAACAGCATGTCACTGGGAGTGGTGTTTCCACAGTAGTGAGATACCATGGCATGTAAGGTGTGCAGGACTAAAATTATCAATGTCAATGGTGTATCAGATTAAGCTCATGCCCATACCTTGATTGCAATGCAAAACAGGTGCCAATCCCCATTGTTCCATTTGAAGAGATTGCTGTGCAGATGGAAGTTCACCTACATAATCAATGGATATCACCAATCACATGAATAGAACCAAATAAATGCTCACCATTGCATATTTCTTTGAAAAGATCCCTCATCTCTGATCATTCAGGCATGCCAAAAGTCAAACTGGTTTGCACCATTGTCCTCATCTGCTGCCAAGTCAAAAGATTTGATGGGTACATTTGAAATGAGTGGGGGAGGTGTTGGTTCCCTCATATCCTGCAATTGAGCAACCAGGTTAGTTGGAGAATTGGGTCAAGGAGATTGGTCCCTCAGATTTGATGATTTGCAGGTGATGGGCAGAGGAGATGGTTCCTGCACATTCTGCAAGTCTGCCAGAAAATTGACCTGCATAGTAATGTCTTGTGCAGGTGTTGAAGACCTGTCCATCCTGTTTAATTTCTCATGTGTGACTGGCAGTGCTGATGGTTCCCATGCATTCAGCAATTGCCCAAGTAGATCCACATTCATACCATCCACTGGGGGAGCAGTTGGTTCCCATTCATTCAGGAACCAATTCATCAAGTTGTTGTGTGGATCTATTACTAGAAAATTAGTTTGTTTGTTAGCGTGAAGGGCAACACATTCATACCATCCACTGGGGGAGCAGTTGGTTCCTGTTCATTCAGGAACTGATTCATCAAGTTGTCATGTGGATCTATTACTAGAAAATTAGTTTGTTTGTTAGCTTGAAGGGAAATCATGCCAACTCACTGGCCATGATTCCACCCTCTGCCAGAGCAGTTGGCTCCCTTTCCTGCAGGAACTGATCCAGCAAGCTTTTGAATGAATCTATAGCAAAAGAATGTTTGTTGTTGAGCTTGGAGATGTTATGCCTGAGTGTGGTGACTTCTTCAAATGGAATAGGCACGAAGTGCGCAAGGTGGGAGTCTATGGGCTGAACTTGTCGTAACCCCTATGGCTGAGTTATCACAATAATCCGACAGAGGTTCTGTCTACTGGCGAGTCCCTAAGGTTGTTCGCATGGAGAGAGAACAAGGATGAGAGCGAAGGGATGAAGCTCAGTTGCAAGCTATTGAAAAACTGCAGATACAGGACGAAGTACGTAGGATTATATACCCCTAAGTACGAGTACCATAGCAGTCGCAACAGACGCATTGTGACGCGTATCCACAGTAATCAACAATCCCATCAGTGAAATAAATAGGAGTCATATTGTGTCATAGATGGGGGTAGGGAGGCAATGAAGGCTATACTGGCTGGCACAATCAATGCACAGTGAGGAGCCTGACACTGGAACTATAGTACAACATGTGAGCAATATAAACGAGTCAGAGATGAGTCATAAAACAAGGAATGTAACAAGTTGTCCATCAGAGAGGGCGGTGGAATATCGGATCACAGTGGCAACGTGGTCTCGACAGGTATTGGAAATACCTTGACAGCTGGAGATCTGAACGTTCCCTGGAGCATTCGAGCCCCTAGGATGGCAATGATTATTAGAGATGTGACCAGGCACATGACACACGTGACTGCAAAAAGATGAAAAAGGATAGACCCCTGGTGGAAGCATAACATCACCCCCCCTCTAAGGTCCTCAGACCCTTGAGGATGGGCCGGAAGTTGCGTTAGCAGGGTGGGAGGATAGGGGTTGGTGAGTAGTGTAAACGCTGGAGCAAGTGTGAGTGGCGATGGGCGATGATGGCGATGGAGTCAGTGGTTCCTTGAGGGCCGGAGTAAAATGGGATCCATGTCCGTTATGGCATGACCAATGTCCCAAGTAATGGCATTGGTAGCACGCATGGGGGTACAGGACATGGTCCGGCAGGACAGGGGACTGCCCTCCAAGGTAGAACTGAAGCTGATCAGAAGGGACGGGGACGAAGGGAGTCACAGGGAGAGGATCGGCAGTGTGGACGGTGTTATGATAGTTCTTGTGCATTCCTGCCCATGATGCATCCTGTAACAAGACCTCCCAAGAGGAGTTATGAGTACCTGTTCCAAGTCACGCACCAACCTCTTTAAAGAGTTCGCCTGAGTCGACAAACCCTAATTCCACGGCATGCCAGTGCTTCTCCTTCTCCTGATCCGTTAGGTTCTTTTCTTCTGAAACCAATGGTTCCTCTTGTTTCGGGATGATCTGGTCAAGGATCTGAGCAGCGGGTGGCGCCAAGAACTCTCCTATCTGCTGTTGATGTAAGTGATGATAAGCTCCACCAGTGACAGCCTTGGTAAGATCCAAGGAGGCCTTCTCCAGCATGTTGATCATGATTACTTTGGACAACAGGGCAGTGCCACTTAATTTCTGGGTATGGATCTTCGAGACGAGTCCATTGATTATGTCTGATGCTCTGTAGAAATACTCAACCTGTTCTGGTGAGCACCTGTTAATGTTGTCCCCATCATGGAAGACGTCAAGCACCCTAACAATGTCCAGGTAATCACTTGCTGAGACTGGTAATTGCTGCTGGTCAAGCCAGGCAGTGGTGGCAGTCAGTGAGGAGGTCGAGGGCTGTGCGTTGAGCGCTGTCGGAATAGGTGGTGAAGGTGGTGCATAGGTGGGGAGGTTCGGCAGCATTGGAGCTACTGGAGGCGGCTGCCGGACTATCAGGGTCATTGTCAGTTCGCGCCTTACCCTTTCCCTTGCGGTTACTGTCCTCGCTGCAGAGGACTCTGGCTGAAGGTGCAGGGACACGTCTAATGGAGTACCCCTGGAGTGGATGCAGTCCACGAGTCCTGGCAACAGGGGGCGATAGCGGTCAGGGTTGAGAGACAGGTGAGGAGAACCCGGATACATAAAAGCCGGTGGGGGAGGTTGGAGGTGAGGTCAGGGCATAGACAGCAATGGGGGGAACGAGCCCATCGTCGTTGGTGTCATAAAAGGATTCTGAGGGGAGGGTGAGGTTGGCATAGTCGTTTTCTGTGTTGATGGAGTGAGGGGAGTCCATTTAACTGTGGAGGTGTCAAGCGAGTTTGTACTGGTCCAACACTTCTGAAGTGTTCTCTTTTATGTGTTCTTCAGGTTCCCATGTATTTGATGAATGCGGGAACCCCTTCCACTTGACCAGATAATGCCTCTTTCCTCTTCGACCTGTCAACCTTGTGGTTTAGGATAGATTTGACCTCCCATTCAATCTCATCATCCACTAATTTGGGTAAAGGGGCTGCGGGCGCAGCTCTGTAAGTTTCATTTTCAATGAAAGGGAAGATCTGGGAGGCATGGAACACAGGATGTACCTTCCACATTGGTGGAAGGTCCAATCAGGAAAGCAACTGGTGACACAACCTGAGTCACCTTGAAGGGTCCAAGACTGTCAGGGCACAATCTTGTCACACTGGTTTTTGATGTGAAGGTGCCCAGTATCCAGGAGTACTTGATCTCCAACCTTGGGCATGATATAAGACCCTTTTGAGCATGCAACTGCATCAGGTCTTGTGCCTTCTTGTGTGTGAGAAGGGCCACATCTTGACTCGAGGCCAGCCATTCTAGCCTTTCGTCTATGGAAGGTACCTGGGGTGAGCTGGACCTCTGGGCATGGTGAGGGGTTGTAACCAAGGAGTAAGGAAAAGGGGGTCATTTGATGGACAGAATGTACCTGCAAGTTGTGAGCGAATTCAGTGGAGGGAAGTTTCGATGCCCATGAGTTGGGGAACTCTGAGCAGTAGAGTCGCAGATACCCTTCTACCTCCTGGTTGACTCAGTTCAGCTTTCTCCATGTAGTTTGTAGGGTGATATCCGGACGAGAGTTTGGTTTTTACCCCTATTGCCTTATACAGTTTTTTGGTGAATGATGACATGAACTGCAGTCCATGATCTGAGATTACCGACTCCAGGACTCCATATTGGGAATAAATGAATTGATGGAAGAGTCAGGCAAGTCCGATGGAGTCAATTGTCTTGTGGCATGGAATGAACAAGGTGGCTTTTGTAAGGCCCTGATTGACAACTGTGAGAATAGAGTCATATTTGTTTTCTCCCAAGACAGGGAGATCCATAATAAGGTCCATTGATATTTGCTGGAACAGGAATGCGACTTTGGGGGTTTCATGCAGGACAATCGGTGGTGTAGGTGGATGGGTTACCACCTTCGTCATTTGGCACACTGGGCATCCTGCAATGTAAGCCTTGATGTCCTTTCCCATACCTTCCCACCAAACTTCCTTTCTCATTTTAGTGAACATTGCCTTCTGTCTGGGGTGTCCAGAGGACTCATGATCGTGGTAGGTTCACATACAATGTTGTCGGTGTTCGGGGGGGATGTAAAGGCGTGTGGTTCCAAAGCATTTTGTCCCATCTTCTGCAACCGAGATATTTTCCGAGGTTCTGGGCCTGTAGAGTCCTTTGACACATCGTTCCTGATGCGCTCATACAGGTCGGCCAAGATCGTGTAAACTCCTTTTGCTCCTTTGGCTATTTCTCCTCTGGGGTGAGCATTAAACAGCTGATTCTTCTTTGGCTTTTCCTCAAGCAGGCGAGAATACGGCTTGGAGTTGGTTTCCAATCATTTGACGCAAGCGGGAATATGACCAATGCGGCAGAGATGGTTTATTTTTAGTTGTTTTTGTAATTTTGTTATTGAAAACAAGGGTGAAATGAGACAAATTTGGGGACCCACCTCCTCCAAAAGCCAGAGGTCCAAAGGAAGGACTGTGGCCACCAGGGCGGGCTCCATGGTTTTGTTTTTGTGAGAGAGTGTGTCAGCCAGCACCTGAAGGTGGCCAGCTTGCCAGGAAAAATGAATGGGATAGGACTGCATGGTAGCAGCCCAACGAGCTTGACAAGGGGTGAGCTGTTTAGGCTCACGATAATATTCGAGATTTTTGTGGTCTGTAAAGACCACTGTGGGTTTGACAGGGGAGAGGAGGTAAGGCCAGAAAGCCTTGAGTGCACGGATTATGGCAAGCATCTCCAGGTCATACACCTGGTACCGTTGTTCTGTGCCAACAAGGGATTGGGAAAGGTAAGAACAGGGGTGCCACTCATTGTCAGCTCCTTTTTGCGTGAGGACCATGCCAGTCCTGAGTTTCGATGCATCCATAAATAGCACGAAAGGCTTCGAGAAGTCTGGAATAGTGAGGACCGGAGCAGAGCATAACAAAGACTTCAGCTTCTCGAATGCAGAGTTGCGTTCTGGGGTCCACTGATAAGACACTCCTTTCTTCGTAAGATCATGGAGTAGACGAGCGATACTTGAGAAGGATGGGATGAACTTGTGGTAGAAATTGCAGAACCCAAGGAATCGGCAAAGCCCCATAAGGTTGTCAGGGGCATCCCAGGTACTAATGGTGTCAGTCTTCATCAGCAAAGTTTCCATATGTCCTTTTCCTATCACCATTCCGAGGAACTCAATTTCTTCAGCCTCGAAGACACATTTGCTAATCTTGAGGCACAATCCTTCTTTAGTGCAGATCTCCAGGAACTTGCGGACCTGAGTTCGGAGTTCTTCTTTTGTTTTGGCATGGATTGCTACATCATCCATGTATCCGACTTGTTTTCCATGTTGGGACACAAAGGTTTGGTCCATGTATCTCTGGAAGGAAGGGGGTGAGTTGCACTGTCTGAAGAACATTACTGTCAGTTCAAACAGTCCTCTTGGTGTGATAAATGCCCCTTTCCACTCATCTCCTTCCACAACCCATAGATTGGTGAACCCCCAATGAATGTCGAACTTTGTGTAATATTTTGACTCCACCAACTCGTCAAACAGCACCTGGGCATTCAGTAGTGGATGTGCATCTTGGATTGTGAACGAGTTTAAA